GGATGAGATCATACAGCCACGGAAAGTCTCATGGGAAAGTTTGGAAAGTCCCATGAGAAAGCACAACTGTGTACCTTGAACTTTCACCCATTTTCCTATTCCTTCTAAACTTGCAGAATCAAACAGGATGAGACACTCATGAGCAAAGGTACTCCTACCCCCACCAAGAATGTCTATATCCCTAGACTTATTGCTAGTATTTCAAAGGCCTTACAGAAAATGATAAAATGATTAATAAAATATATTACCACACTTAATCAAATCAGACTAGAGCTGGAAGGGACCTTGGAGGTCTTCTAGTCCAATCCCCTGCTCAAGCAAGAGATCCTACACTATTTCAGACAAGTGACTGTCCAGTTTCTTCTTAAAAGCCTCCAGTGATGAAGCAGCCACAACTTCTGGAGGCCAGCTGTTCCACTTGTTAATTGTCCTCACTGTTACCTGTTTCTCCTTAATTCCAAGTTGTTTCTCTCCTTGATTAGTTTCCATCCATTGTTTCTTCTCTTGCCTTCTGGTACTTTGGAAAAATAGGTTGATCCCCTCTTCTTTGTGGAAGCCTCTCAAATATTGGAATATTGCTATCATACGTCCCCTAGTCCAGTGGTGGTATGCTAGCGGTTCGGTCCAGTTCACCTGAACTGGTAGCAAAAATTGCCACCAGTTTGGCCAAACGGTAGTAAAAAAAAAAAAAGGCCTACGATCAGCTGAGAGGAGGAAAAAAGGTCCTTCCTTCTCATTAGGTGGCCAAAGTATTTGAGTTTCATCTTCAGGATCAGGCCTTCTAAAGAGCAGTCAGGGTTGATCTCCTCTCTAGGACTGGCCGGTTTGATCGCCTTGCAGTCCAAGGGACTCGCAGGAGTCTTCTCCAGCACCAGAGTTCAAAGGCCTCCATTCTTTGGCACTCAGCCTTCCTTATGGTCCAACTTTCACAGCCATATATTGCAACTGGGAAAATACATACATACATACTTACATACATACATGTATTTTCATACATACATGTATATATGTATGAAAAATATATGTATTTTCATACATGTATGTATTTAATACATACATATATGTGTGTTTGTGTGTGTATTTATTTAATTTCTATGGTTACCCATCTCAAATGGCATACAATTCAAGTTGTAATATAATTCATGTATCACATAATACTATTAAAAGTTTATGATCTTATGGGGCCACATTACTAGCTGTCCAGGGATGCCTGTGGTCTGTGGGCCACAGGTGGGCCACACCTGATCCAGATGAAAGGTGTACCCTTTGTAGAAATCAACTACTTTGAGTTATGGTGATGGAAAATATTACTTCACATTCCTTGAACATCCATAAGATTCAATTCTTTAGTGCTAGATAAAATCAAGCCAGGATGCTGCCCAGAAGCATAGAATCATAGCGCTGGAAGGGACCTTTGAGATCTTCTAGTCCAACCCCCTTCCCAAGGCAGAAGTCCTTATTCCATCCCAGAGAAATGGTTGTACATTTTTTTCTTGTAAACCTCCAGCGATAGAGCACCCATAGTGCATGGATCATGAAAACAAAGGATACCATGTTTTGGGCACATGAAGGTGGGCTCATGTTTCCATAGAAAAGATAATCAAATTGGGGAAGATGGAAAGGAGAAGAAGAGACTAATAGTATGTAAGATAAATAGACAGAGTTACAGAAATGTACCTGCAAAAATAGTATGGTGAAAGATAGAACAACCTGGAGAACTTTTATCCATAGAAGCAGCAGGAGTTGGCTATGACTCAGTGGAGCATAATAACAACAGATGCCAGCAATGAATTCTCTTTGTTATTAGTTTTTGTTGAAATGCAGAAGAAAGTTTAAAAGGAATTTTATACACAGAATGTTCTGATTCATCAGTGGCTGAATTAAAGTTACCCCCCACCCTATCAGCTGAGGTGCTGTGGCATTATGACTCTTACTCAGTATTATAGCTCCCTCTTTTGGTGAAATAAAGACCATATAAAGGTTATGTGTTTTGTATTTATTTTATAGTTGCTAAATAAAACTGACATTGACTTGATGGCATGCTGTATCTATCAATTTATATAAAATAGGCTTGTGTGTGTGTGAGTCTCCACAAATAGAGATACAATAAATTTTTCTTCTTCCACTATTTTCCCAAAGAAAAATTCAGCTGTAATTTTCTTTTCCCCAGTAGTAGAGGGGATTTGACACTAAAAAAAGTATTCTCGAGTTACAGATAGTCCTCAATGTGCAACAATTTTTGAAGTTTACAAAGGCAATGAAAAAAAATGACTTATGACTGTTTTTCCACACTTATGACCATTGCAGCATTCCCGTGTTCACGTGACCACAATTTGGAGGCTTGGCAATGGACTCATATTTATGACGGTTGCAGAGTCCTAAGGTCATGTGATCCCCTTTTGCGACCTTCTGCAAACTCAATGGGAAATCCAGATTCACTTAACAACCGTGTTATTGACTTAACAACTGCAGTGAACTGTGCAAAAAAGGTTGTAAAATGGGACAAAACTCACTTAACAACTGTCTCACTTAGCAACAGAAATTTTGGGCTTAAATGTGTTTGGAAGTTGAGGGCTACCTGTATAGTTTTTGCTATTTACACTCTTCCCTCCCAAATCATTGCAGCTTTTTTTCCCCCTGCACCCTTAAGAGAAAGAAAAAGAAAGAAAGAAAGAAAGTCTCATTTAAATATGAATAGGAAAGTAGGTTACAAGGGACATTACAGGCTACATCACACCCTCACTCCCCTGGGCCCACCTCTTTTCAGACATTTCAATATCCTGAGTCTGGGTTGCATATTGTACTTAACCAGATTAGTTCCAAACTTTGCACTTGCCTTTTTATTTTATGTACTAAAACAATTTATGTGGCTGCCCAACTTGCAAATATGACTCCGGGCAACCAACTATGTAGAAGAACAATAGGAAAAAAATGCAATATCAGCAAAAAAAGAGAAAGATATTAGTTGGCAAGGACAAGTCGAATACACATCCAGCAAGAACAATAACATCCTCATGGCTATCTAACCTTAATATCAACTTAACGTTTTAGGTTTGAATAATTAGATGTATGTATTTTGGTTATATTGATATTTTTAACTGTTGGCTAGGAGAGATCTAGAAATTGATATAAGATGGACACTTATATAAATGTGTCAAATAAATAAATACCTCCCAACTCTGATGCCCTGCTTATAGAACACCATGGTTTGCTTGGTTTTTTTTCTTTCTGTGGCCTAACATGTTGCATAATTGCGGCCATTTTGTTTTATGAGTCAGTGCATTGTGTCTGCATAGGAAATAGGTTAAGTTAAGAGTGGGATATAGTCTGTGACACTCTTGGTTTTTGCTTTTCTGGTGTTGGAAATCTGAAGCTGGGCAACAGGGGAATTCTGGAATTCCCAGTGACACAAAATGTTTTGCTCAGCCCTTCCATCTGTAGTATTTTCCAGCTGTGATGAGAGTTCAGCTCCTAAAATTCCCAGGCAGCTTGAGGGTTTGTAGTCTTTGCACATCTGGAGATCAGCAGGCTATAGAAATATCTATTCCAGTTGATCATGCTTGTAATTTACCCAGAGATCTACTCTCCATTATTAAGATGTGTGGACTTCAACTCCCAGAATTCTCCTGCCAGCATGCTAGAAAGGGATTTCATACTTTAAACTTCAAATCTAAGGTTGAGGATCACTGGCATAAAGTGGAAAACTGTCTCATACAAGAAATGTTCTGCTTCTCTCACCTCCTTTAAATTCTGATTGAGGATCAAATAGAAGATAAGAAAGGTGCCTGAGAAAATATAGAAGAATGCATGCTGCAAGAAGAAGAAAAATTTCTCCAAAATTTGGGGGCTTGGGTTAAGTCCAATATTATTTGTGTTTCCATTTCTTAAGAAAATAATCAGAATAGAGCTGGAAGTGACCTTGGAAGTCTTTTAGTCCAACCCCTTGCTCAAGCAGGAGACCCTATACAATAAATGGCTGTCCAAGCTCTTCTTAAAAACTTCCAGTGTTGGAACACCCACAATTTCTGGAGGTGAGCCGGTTCCACTGATTAATTGTTCTCACTGTCAGGTTGTTTCTCTCCTTGATTAATTTCCATCCTTTGCTTTTTGTCCTGCCTTCTGGTGCTTTGGAAAATAATAGAACTTCCATCCATTGCTCCTTATCCTGCCCCTTTTCTTTGTGGCAGCTCCTCAAATACTGGAATACTACTATACCTGTACACAAGAAGACCAACATACCCTATTTGTAGGTAATGGAATGTCCTTGAAATTTACATATTCATGTTCAAGTATATATACTGTATATGACCCACTGATGGCCTAAAGGGGGAAGAATTAAAAAAAAAATCAGTCTAAGGAAAAAAGGATAATCCCACTCACTGCCAAGGATCTCTAGTTCTATGACCATTTTTCACACAACCATTGTTGCATCTTTGTGGTCATGTGAACAAAATTTGAACATTTGGCAACTGGTTCTCATTTATGACAGTTGCAGTGTCCCGGTGTCATAAGACTACTTTTTGTGACCTTCTAACAAGCAAAGTCAATGGGGCAGCCAAATTCACTTAACAACTGTGATATTAACTTAACAACTGCAGTGATTCATTTAACAACGATGGCAAGAAGGTTGTAAAATGGGGCAAAATTCACATTAACAATCGACTTGCTTAGCAATGGACATGTTGGGCTTGAATGAATAATGAATGAATGAATGAATGAATGAATGAATGAATGAATGAATGAATTCTTTATTGGCCAAGTGTCATTAGACACACAGGGAATTTGTCTTGGTGCAAATGCTCTCAGTGTACATAAAAAGAAAAGATACATCCGTCAAGAATCGTAAGGCTGTAGCAGTAAGCCCAGTGCTGCCTGTATTTCAAAGAGCCAGGCTGTTGTAATCCTCCTAAGAATAACTTCAAGGTCTTAGTCTTGACTTAGCATTAGTGCTTGAAGAAAATCAGTACACTAAGAAAATAATTCAACCTTTCTCTTTTTAGAAATTCGAGAAGCTTTCCGAGTCCTGGACCGGGATGGCAATGGCTTCATTTCCAAACAGGAGCTGGGAATGGCCATGCGCTCTCTGGGATACATGCCTAGTGAGGTGGAACTGGCAATTATTATGCAGCGGTTGGACATGGATGGTGAGTCTTTTAGTTCTTCTCATAGTCTTTGCTGAAGGAGAATATGCTGGTTGCCAAGCAGACTTCCAGGTGGAATTCAAGGTGCTACTTAACCCTTTTAAAACCCTTTATGCCACAGAGCCAGGTTATTTGCAGGACTATTTGCAATAAACTCTGTCCATCTAGTAAGGACAAAATTGTGAGCTCCAGACCAACTGTCACTCAAAAAGGGTGATCTGGTAGGACCCGGGAGATTTGCCTTCTCTATCATGTGCCTGTCCCTGGAATAGCATTTCCCCAAGAACCAAATGGACCCAACTTTCCCTATCTCCCTTTCTAAAGTTTTGGAGACTTCCTTTCCCTTCTCAGTCCTTGGGTCAGGAGAATTGTGGTTCCAACCAAAGTGATTATTATGTCAGCGTTCCAGCAAACCTCCATTCCAATCAATAACTCTGAGACAGACTTATCTCAAAGGTAGTAACTGGCACATCTGTGGAATCCCGAAACTGAAAGTTCTGGGCTTCCTTGCAGAAGTCAAAACCATAAATCTATCCCCCCTTAGCCATCACCACATCACATGGTCCAATCACCATCTGTCCTAAAGTAAGATTCCCATTTTATTATACGCCACACTCAGTGACCTTGGATCAAACAAAAGAAGTTTATTTTGTCTGATTAGATATACTCAATTCTTTTGTTTGGTCCAAGGCCACTGAGTGTGGCGTATAATGAAATGGGAATCTTACTTTAGGATAGATGGTGATTGGACCATGTGATGTGGTGATGGCTAAGGGGGGATGGATGGTTTTGACTTTTGCAAGGAAGCAGGTAGATTCCTCAAAGAATACTTTTATTGCAATTGTCATATTGGCGCATATCTGGTGAAAACCGACTCTGATGTTTCCTGCGGTTTTCACCTAATTAAAAGTAAAAGTTGGTCTACTTTCTCAAAACAATCAGTCATATGGTCCAATTATGGTGCCAGGCTGGCAGCCGGGTGGCATCACTCCACCTTCCTTCGACCAGGTGTGAGAATGTCCTTGGTTCCCAAGAGAAAATATGTTGTTTTGGCTACAGATTCCCCTCTATCTCGATTCCCCCCTCCCTATCCCTCAGCTCCAGTGTGGCAACACTGAAGCGGTCAAAAATGGCTTCAGTCAGGTCAGCTTCAGGCTTGACAAATAAGATGCCCAAAATCATTTTGGAAAGGCAGGTGTAGTAAATTGACTAACCAGGTAAATCAGCAAGCAGACGTCAACGCCATTTTTAGACTTTGAAAGGATGGCTTTGTGGGGAGGGGGAGGATATGTCTATACATATAGATGCATGTCTAAGGGAGCGTGATGCTGAGCTTGTCAGCTGGAAAGCTGACAGGCTGGGTTCTAGACCTGAGTGCTGCATGACGGGGTGAGCTCCTATTACATACCAGAGCTTCTGCCCACCTAGCAATTTGAAAGCATGCAAATGCGAGTGGATAAATAGGTGCCACTTCGGTGAAAAGGTAACATCATTCCATGTGCCTTGGTGGGTAGCAGGGGTGTCAAACTCAAGGCCCAGGGGCTGGATCTGGCCCACAGGGTGCTTCGATCTGGCCCTGGAAACAGCAAAAGATCAGCCCATAGTGCCTCTGCCAGTGAAAACGGAGCTTGGGAGGGCTACGTGCAGCCCTCCTAAGCTCCGTTTTCACTGGCAGAGGGTTGCAGGAGGCCGTCACAGCCGAAAATGGAACTCAGGAGAACTGGGGGTGGGATTCCCAAGCTCCATTTTTGCTGGCAGAGGGTTGCAGGAGGCCATCGCAGCAGAAAACGGAGCTCGGGAACCCATTTTCATTGGCAGAGCGCTCAGGCCACCACAGTTGCCCCTGACACTAGTGATGTCAAGCTGGCCATGCCTACCCCAGCCCCCCAAGGTCAAACACAACCCTGATGCGGCCCTCAATGAAATTGAGTTTGACACCCCTGGTCATGCTGGTTACATGACCAGAGTAATATCTTTGGACAATGCTGGCTTCCTTGGACAAGAAATGGAGATGAGCACCCCACCCCCTGGAATTAGACACAACTGCACAGGGGAAACCTTTATCTTTATGTCTACACACACAAAGATAAAAGTGTAAGTTAAAAGTGTAAATGTATCCTGGGAAGCTGGTGGAAAAAAGGTTCATCCATTTCTCTCCTTGGCAATGGGAGTTTTCTGATTGTCACGCACAGAACGGCTGCCATTTTCTGTGGAGGCTCGTTCAATGGTCTCAAAATTCCAGCCCTAAAGGCTTGGGAGGAAAAGGTTTATCCGGTTGTGAGGTAACAAGTGAGGTAACTTGTGACAAGCTGCAGAATAAAGAAATCATGAAACATGTGAATATGAGTGGCAGAATGCATTTACTTGCCTGTGATTTTTTTTATTGCTTTCATCTGCATGGAATTGTATGGATTTTCCTCTTCAAAGGGTACCTAAAGTGCCCCTCTTTTTATTAAGTTCTTACTCTATTTGGAGAAATATCTCTGTAGCACACAACTATCATCTTCTGAAGCTCTTCACCAGATCTTCTTATCAAAGAGCAGGTAGCTCATTGATAAGAGAGCCTTTTCAACAGCACTGCAGATAGCAAACAGCCTCTTGTGAAACCTTCACTGTGACGAATACCTTGTTTTTATTTTCCAAGCTTCTTTTCAGAATGACTGGTTATTTACTGTTGATCCTTTTATCTGCTTCCCTATTGTTAAAGTAAGTGGATACGATTTGTCTAGTCTAATGAAAAGAAGGGCTAGGGGAGACATGATAGTAGTGTTCCAATATCTCAGGGGCTGCCACAAAGAAGAGCGAGTCAAGCTATTCTCTAGAGTGTTTGAAGGCAGGACAGGAAGCAATGGGTGGAAACTAATCAAGGAGAGAAGCAACTTTGAATTAAGGAGAAATTTCCTGACAGAACAATTAATCAGTGGAACAACTTACCTCCAAAAGTTGTGAATGCTCCAACCCTGGAAGTTTTTAAAAAGATGTTGGATAACCATTTGTCTGGAGTGGTGTAGGGTTTCCTGCCTAAGCAGGGGGTTGGACTAGAAGACCTCCAAGGTCCCTTCCAACCCTGTTATTCTATTCTACTTTATTACCGTTTTTATTATGTCATCGTGTTTCTGTTACCCAACACTCAGAGAAGTCTGATTGACAGGCATTCTACTACATGTAGTCTTTGATTTACAACAGTGACCGTTCGAAGTTACAAAGACATGAAAAAGTGACTTATGACCATTTTCCACACTTAGGAAAATTGTGATAAACATTCAGATACTTGACAACGGACTCATATTTATGACCGTTGTAGTGTCCCAGGGTCCTGTGATCCCATTTTGTGCTCTTCTGACAAGCAAAGTCGACGGGGAAGCCAGGTTCACTTAATAACCATGTTACTAACTTAACAACTGCAGTGATTCACTTAACAACTGTGGCAAGAAAGGTCATAAAATGGGGACAAAATTCACATAACAAATGTCTCACTTAGCAACAGAAATTTTGGGCTCAATTGTGGTCATGATTTGAGGAGTACCTGGAATGTAATAAATAAAGTAAATCTGATTTCTACTTATATTAAATTCTATTAACCATTCAGTATTCTTCTCTACTTCAGTATATAGTCAGAGGCAAGAATGCTACCCTGATAACATCTGTGTGCGTGTGTGTGTGTATATATATATTGATTTTTGGCAATTACATGCAGTTATCTGTGCAATGTTCTTGTCAACATTTTCAGAAATGGTTTTTCCCTTGCTTTCTTCCTAGGATCGAAAGAGAGAGCAATTGGCTCTCTCCAATTTAGATTTACTCCAGATTTACTAAACTAGCTTCCAGTTCAATGCAGGACTTGGAACTTATACAGCCTCTGAGTTTCTAGTCCATTGTCTTCCAACATTACAGAAATTGTCACAAAGGGGCTGTTTTCTGCCAATCTGTCTAGATGCTGAGTACATGCATAGATGTTCTCCTTAATGGGCCTTTATTGCATTTACAAAATTATATGATTCTTTTATGAAATAAAGTAATAATTTGAGATGGAACGGTGGGAGATACATGATCCTGACTTCCTGCAGTTTATCTGTATGCTGAGCCTGGATGTATAATAATGTGCAAAATTGGATCAGGAGAATTGGGTAACGAGGAATTGGACATTTCCCACCTCTTACTATTTCCCCAATTGTAAGAATAAGCACAAATGTCTGTTCTAATAAATTTTGACTGCCAAGAAAGAGTAGCGTAGCAGTTTCCAAATTGTTAAGCGAAGAGCCCTGGTTGTTGAATCCAGGAAAGTAGTGGCCTCCTCTAACTTTTAAATAATCCACATTTCCAAAACTGTTTAAAGAATAAGCTTTTTTCAACTATCAGCAATATAACCAAGCAATGAAGATAAGTGCTGGGAAAAACCCACCCAAGCAAGGAGGAGGGATCAAGCAGGGAATTAGCCTTGAATCTTTGCACAGCCACAAGCAGCAGAAGCCGGACATCCCACCCCAAGTTCCATAGAACTTTATCTGTTTATATAGTAGCTTATATAGTTGAACTTTATCTTTCCCAAGGGAAAGTGAGCATTCTGGGAAAATTCCTGTACTATAGGTAGCATACAGTAGTCAACTCGAACCTTTCAGTGGTAGTTCTGGTTGCTTGTGCCTAACAGGGAATTGGTGAGAAATAGGTTAAAAAAGAAGAAATGCTCAGGTTTATAAGGCCTTCAGTAAATAATTGGGCTGTAATTAGGCTGGCATCCACTCACTGATAATCCACAAATTTAAATTTACCTTGATGGTGCAAATTGTAAAAGGTGTCTAGGTAATCCTGAAGTTACAACCAGAATAATAGAATTCAAAGGGATCTTGGAGGTCTTTTAGTCTGACCGCCTACTCAAGCAGGAAATCCTATACCGGAGGTGTCAAACTCAAGGCCTGAGGGCCAGATCCGGCCCACGGAGTGCTTAGATCTGACCCATGGGACCGCCCTGGAAACAGCGAAGGACTGGCCCACTAGCAGAGTGC